ACCTAGCTAATCTGATAGTTCCACTTGTGCAAAATGAGCCTTGTAAACTTAACAAGTCCATAATTTAATATCCCGCCTTTACATTAAGTGCCTTTTATGATTAGAAAAGCCCATCTATAAATTTGAAGCAACTCGGATCTAACCCAAATAGGGCCATCTTGGTAGCAACCATATTGGTTCTTCACAAGTTGATGAGGTGCCACATTTGTTTCTTGCCTTATCTAGGTTATGTCTATGCACTAAAGTAAATACATGACATGCCATATCAGTTTCATGAAACGAAGGTGTAGGATCATGTTAGTCGACTGTCATGTAGCATAAATTTGTGTCATTCAATAGGTTATTAAACTCTCTTTATAAAAAAAGTTTTAAAAAATATAAGATGCCTTTAGTCAACATTTTTTAAATTAGAAAAATATTCATGAAATATTTTAAATTTACAAAAATGCCCTGAAGATTTTTAAAATCAGAAAATGTTGAAAATTTTCTTTTAAAATCACAAAAATTCAAAAATGATAAAAAAATTTTACATGAAATTCTTGGCATAAATCATGATGCATTTTGTATTTTTTCACAATTATTATTATTTATTCTCGAAATAGTGAAAGATGTTTCTAATAAGTTATTATGAAATATTTTGGAAAATAAAGGAAAATTTCAATATATCTTGTTAGGAGTTATGTTAGAAAATAATTTATTCCTGTGAGAAATTATGAGGAATAAACTATTTTTTTGGATTAAGAAGTTATTTTCTTTCATATTTTATATTTATTTTCTTAGATTATGAGTTATTTATTTTTCTATTTGGCTTTCGTATTTTATGTTATTTCATTTACTTCAAACAATTAATATGATTTGTTTATTGGAGATATTTGGTGATATATCTTTTTTTTTATAATATTTCTTTTTATCATCTTTCCTATTCTAGGATTCATTTAAGCGTTATTTATACCCCCCTTCATATCAATGAAATTATTCTGAATTCTGTTTTATTCCGCATTATTCTAAATTTTAACATGGTATTAGTGCACGATTCCTTACCCTAGCTGTCGGTCCTTCTTCTAGAACCATCAGACTCCCTTTCTACCATTCTCCATGCGCGAAGGGAGGGGCATTTGTCTTGTTATTTTGAAACAATAATTTTTTCTTCTTCTCTTCTGAAAGCCACTGGGCTCCTCTACAACAGCCGTCTGATTTACTTGCAGGGCCTTCTGCAGTTATTTCCTAGCATTCGTCCCCTCTGTGCTTGCAGGGGAAACATCCTCCACCAGTTTCCAACACAGGCCTTCCCAACCTCTCTACTATTTCTCCTTACTCGAGTGTGTGGGTTCATATTTCATACAGGATTCTAAGATCAGGAAATTGATTCAGATTTAGGGATTCAGAGTTTTGTCTCGATCAAGAAGACCCAGGATCACATTGAATCTTTTGAATGTGAAGGCCGATGCTTTGACAGAGTGGTTACAACTATGCTTTGGAGGTCGTGGCGTAAAAAGTGTAGGCTTTAGAAGATTTCATAGAGTTGTGCTTGAAAGGCGGGTTGGAGAGTGTTGCAAGCATTGTGTAGAGGTTCATCTATGAGCATGTTTTGCATTGAGTGTCCAGCTTGTCGTTTTTGATATTTCTGTTGATTGAGATTTTCTTTTCTCGATTATCCTCGAAGCATGACAATTGTTTCTGATTAACACGCCATTCCTTACTGAAAAGATGGACAGAGCTGTCTTTATAGCCATAGTTGCTACTATAGGCAACTTGTTGCAGGGCTGGGACAATGCCACAATTGTTGAAGTTGTTATCTATATTAAAAGAGAATTTAAGCTGCAAACAGCATACTATTGAAGCATTAATCGTTGCCATGTCACTTATCATGGCTACTATCATTACCGCATTCTTTGGACCCGTTTCTGATCGATATGGGAGGTGTCCTATACTGATTTTCTCATCAATCCTTTATTTTGTTAGTAGACTGGTGATGCTTTGGTCTCCAAATGTTTACACTCTCCTTCTAGCGAGGCTAATCGATGGCTTTGGAGTTGGTTTGGCTGTCACGCTCATTCTCGTCTATATTTGTGAGACTTCTCCTTTGGAGATAGGAGGGCAGCTAAACACACTTATAGTGGAAATCCCGATTCTTTTCTTGCTTCCTTCAAAGATGGAAAGGGGGAGCTATTTTCCCGCTGTCTCCCCTCCAGATCTCAGTCACCAAAAATAAGAAAGGAGGGCCCGTTTTTCCCTATTATCCTTCCTGCTGTTCTTTTGTTGAACTTGTTCCTTGTAGCAATCCGACTTCCTAGTTTCTAGCAGTTTGGCTTTCCTAATTTCTTGCAGGTTTTCAACAATCCGACATCCTAGTTTCCAATAGTTTGGCTTCACTAATTTTTTACAAGTGCTTACCTCTGGAGGTGCAGCTGGCTCGCCCTATTCCCAATAGGTCATTCCTACTATTTTTTTGACATATGTTCCTTGTAGCAGTCCGGCTTCCTGGCAGCTTCCCTGATTCCCTAAGTTTCTTGCTTGCCATCGCTACTCTGACTTCTATTGTGATAGTGTGGTCATTGGGTGGATATATGACCAGGCAGAAGGAGTGCCCAGTGATGGCCTCATACCAACTTTCTCTACAGTCAATGCAGTGTTTTATTTAGTGCAGTTGTTTTTGTGGTTGCTTGTGGTGGAAGCCCATTCAAATTATTATTGTCCCGTTCAAGATATTTTTTACAGGTGTCTCTTTTCATGTTGCCCTTAGTTTTCTTCTTTACAATGAAAAATTCTTCCTGATGTTGCAGCGCTTTCCTGTCGAATGGAAATGAAGACGCAAGAAATTGCATCAAATTCCTCCGAAACTTTCACTGTAGCAGGCCCTCCACCTGAATTCTTCCTTCAGCACATCCTCTGGAGCCTTTTCCTATAACGAGGCCTACTTCTTGAGTTTTTTTTTCTGTAGGTCATACCCTGAAAATTTTTCTGTTGGTTGTTTATTTCCCTGCAAACTCCCCTGCAACATTATCTGCAGGAGTCTTCCGTTTACCTACGGACATTGCAGGAACTGCAGTAAAAAGACAATCACAGTTGTCTAAATTGCCTGCAAACCCCCCCGCAATATTATCTGCGGGAGCTTTCCGTCTACCTACAAACACTGCAGGAACTGCAACTGATGTTGTCTACTTCCTTACAAACTCTCCTACAACATTACCTGCAGGAGTCTTACGCCTACCTACAGACACTACAGAAATTGCGGTCAAAGAAAACAACAAGTTGAGATAAAGGTTTTAAGTTTAACCATATTCAACTTGAGGGAGAGTGTTAGGAGTTATACCAGGAAATAATTTCATTGGATAAAAGAGTTATTTTCTTTCTTATTTTATGATATTAATTAGCATAAGTTTTTACTCATGGAATGACACAACCTGCATCAAGTTCTACCACGAGGGATAATATGAGACAAGTAACACTGAATTGGTGTTCGGGATATAATATATCCTGGGAAATTGATCACAAACTCAAGAACCTAATCTTTCTCTTAGGGCCCGTTTGGGGCAGCTTATTTGGTGCGGTGGCGTTTTGAAAACGCAATTGACCTGTTTGGGTAAACTGTATTTTGGCAGCTTATGCGTTTTCAAAACGCAGAAAATAACATTTTCACACCGCACCTATCTAGGTACAGTGGGAGCTTATTGGCAACGGTCTGACTTTTCCAAAAAAAATAAAAATTTATAATAGTCACCTCACCTAGCTTATCAACAGATTATTTTTAATCAGCTTATCAGCAGATTATTCAATAAACTACAGCTGTCTCAAACGGACCCTAAAAGGTAATCACAAACTCTTTCATAAGCCGCTAAATTATATCTGTGTTTCTTTCAAGATTTTCTTTGATGAAAAACCTTATGGTTAGCAATTATAATAATTAAGGTTCATTGGCTCAAAAGCCACAAGTTGCAGCATGTTTAGTGGCCTATTGGTATTGGTCACAATGAACTCTATGACCTAGTACCAGTAGTTATAACACAAGGTCTTGAGTTGAGCAATATTGTATACCTTGGACAATAAAACTATGAGTTCATGATCGGATCCATCCATCCATCCCCATGTCTTAAAACATAAAATACATTTTATAGCTATCTATGTAATCATTTGAAGTCATTGTCATATCTGTGTTTCTGCATTTTGAAAGCTAGAGTGGCAAGTTTCTTTTATCATGGGTGTTTTTCTGCTGGAGGGGTCATTAATTATGGAGGTTTGAGGACAGAGAAAATTTTCATCTCCAAAACTCACCATCTTCACCAGGGATTATATAGGTTCATCAATCTGATTTTTTGGATTCATCTACAAGTTTCCTCCTCAAGAAGTCAGCTTAAAAAGCCATTTTGCTGATCTATTATTTTATCCATTCAATTTATTGGTGTTTTGTTTTACATTTACTTGTATGTACTTAAACCACATAAATTAATTTTCCTCTACCTTTACTTGAATTCTACTACTGTAATGCACATTCATTTCTCAATCCATCAAATTTTACTTTAGCCACACCAGCCTTAACATTCTTGCTGTTGGTTAAATATCTTTCTTCTTTGCAGAATCCAACTTTCTTGATTCATATGCAAAATCTTGTTAATTCTGTGCTCAAATATCTTAACCTTGTGGAATCAAAATAATTTGTGAACCTTTTCTTGTAGACAAATCAACAGGTTGGAATGCTGTGTAAATCCCTGCATTTAAAACTATAGTTGCTACCCTACCATTTTTTGTTGGCATTAACTAGCTTTGCTTGGATTACTGAATATGGTTACTAAACTATCCAAATATGTGGCTTTCTAGCATGCATATTTCTCGTAATGATAAATCATTTATTTCTCTACTTTTCACATATTTTTCCTGCTGTGTATTAAAGTTAAATTAATTCGAAGAATGAACCTAATGGAAAGAATCCAACAAAGAGAAGAACAAACACAGCGTTTTTATTTTTACTAAATTCTTCTCAATATATGAATTTCATATTTTAGGCCATGCAAATAGTGGAATGCAAATCAAGCAAGGGTCTGATAATCCAATCACAGAAGAATCAGAACTTTCTCTTCCACTTGTGAGGATCTCAGCTGCCGAATTAAACAAAGATTCTAATGGCAACACGATGTGGGCATCCTCCCCTGAAGTGCTTGAACTTCCCTACAAGCCCTTTAACCATTCTACTGGTTCAGACTCCCCGTCGATTTCTGAATCTGGGTCTGACATCCATACCAAAAGAGAGGTAATAAACAAATTACGGCAGCAGCTCAAAAGACGTGATGAAATGGTGATGGAGATGCAAAATCAGATTGCGGACCTCCAGAATTCCCTTTGTACTCAGATGTCTCTAGTGGCACAGACACAGTCTCAGCTTGATTCAGCAAACCAAGAATTGTTCGATTCTGAGAGAGAAATCCAAAGGCTAAGAAAGGTCATTGCTAATCATTGCTTTTTGAAACCCAGTTATTCTCCAGGAAAGCTGTCATCTGTAGCTAACTGGCGGCCGGAGACTGTAAATGGTTTTCCTGACAGCATGAATGATCTTGATATGCACTGCGTTGGGGTGCAGAAGGAGAAAGGAGATGAGGAGAGGATGTGTTTGCTGAAGAAAGAACTGGATGACTTGCGGGTGGTGATTGAAGGAAAGGATTTCTTACTTCAGAGTTACAAGGAGCAGAAGGTTGAGCTATGCTCAACAATTAAAGTACTGGAGCAGAGGTTAGAATCCAATCAACAGAATTTCATTTAGTTTGGTAGGAGTCTCAAATGTTTCATGCCTGGGGAGTTATTTTTTTGTTGCTATTTTTATTAATATAAATTTTTTTCCTTGTCTGTATGCTTTTTAAGTGGGTTGGCAATTTCTTCAATATAATTAGTGCTTGCAGGTGTTGTGAATAACCAACATTTTCAATTTAGTTTAATGAAAGAATGAGCTTTGGAACTAAGCATCAATAGCTAGGAATTCTAAATAATTCATGGAGTTTGAATTGGTATTTGTAGTGGTTATGAATCTCAGCTTAATATAATTTCCAAGATGTTGGTTCCGGTAAATATGCAAAATTTCAAGACTGAAAGCAAATGATTTATTTTAGCACGAAACTATATTTTTGTAATCTTGTGCTGTATGTTTGGCTGCTTTTCTGTCTGTAGGGTGCAAAAATTGCTGCTCTTCTTTTGCCTTGATTGTAGTTACTTAAATAAACTTCTGCATTTTCTTTACTGCTAGGCATCAAAATTTTTAATGCAACGGCCAATCTTTTTTACCTTCATCCAATGTTTTGTTTTATAGCATGTATATAACTTTTTACTCAAATTTTAGTTTGTACCTTGCTTTGATTACATTGTTTTCTAAGTAATGTATCTCTTCCTCGACACATTCATCTAGAAAGAGAAGCTACAATAATATCATTACATACATGAATTAAATTTTGCAGTGAACGTGAAACAGAATATTGTAATTTTTTTTTTTTTTATAAACCATAGGGAAACACTAAGTTCTGAATCTCTTTAATCTTTCATCCCACAAATATTGAGTTCTCCATAAACATCAAATTGAGTTTAAAAAAAAAAAGTAGGATTCTAAGAGGAAAATTCTGGAAAATTAACCGGCCACATGTGAACAAGTCGAGCTACCATGCTATTATTTGGATGACAAAACAGCTAATCTCAGTACTGACAAGGTTGCCAACTTATGGAAGCTCTTAAAAGATCCGCAGCTTTACAGTCGAATTAACAGATTAACTTCAGCATTATAATTCAGTAGATGCATAAAAAAATGTAATCTGCATTCAAATTAAATTGTAAAGAAAAGTTTCGATGATGTTGGGGAGGCTTTGAATTTAAAAGAACTTGCTATTCTGGCAGCATTTACAAAGATGTCATTGCTTTTGGGAAGATGTATGATCATTATTATTTTGTTTAGGCGAACCTGACTGTAGCCGAGTCATATTAAATTTTGAAGCAGGTCTACTGCTAACACAGCAGCTAAAAATCAAGCGTGCCTTGCTGACAATTTGGTAGTTAGTTGAGGAACAAACCAAAGATTAGCATTGTATATCAGGATTTAGCTGACAAGTGAATCTGCAGGCGCAAAAATATATACCATTTTTCAAGCATGAATATCTGAACTTGTAGTCCTTGTGCAGTGTCCCCTGACATATTTTACTAGCTATATTTTGAATCTGTATGCATATTAAATAAATTTAAATTGACATAGTCTGAATGCCTGACAATAAATGGTGAGTTTACGTTGCTTGGGTTAAGAGGTTCAAGTTTGTACCATTTTTCGAAGCAGTATAAAGATGAAATATTTAACCATTTTTACAACGCTCATTGAGCAGCATTTTGCATGAGAAATTAGTAAATAAAACTGCTAAACAACCTCCTTACTGACCCACTGTCATATAACTAGACTGTTAAACCGAAGGTAGGAAATCACCAGTCTCGTATTAGATCATTTCCATTAACTAGTCTAGAATTACCATAAAATAACAAGCCGTTGTAGGAAAATTTACTTGTTCTCAGGCTAAATAATGTTTCTCTGAATGACACGAGATTTGAATGAAGTGAAAAGAACCATGAAGAGAATCTGAAGCCGGGACGACCAGAGGCCAAAACGACTTGAGGCCTGGACAGTCCGAGGCCCGGGTGGTCTGAGGGCCAGCAAGGATGACCTAAAGCCTGGACAACCAAAACTTGGGCAACTCAATATAGCCGAGTTGAAGACTTATAAATGTAAAAGACCTAAAATAACTTGTACAACCCTCATTACATTTGGGTCAGAAATTTAATATCTTCATGTTGTATTTCATTCCTCTATAAATAGATCATTTTATATAAGAGGGGCCCTTTTAATTTTAGCTCTTACAATCACATACCTGTTACCTATGGGAAGTCGAAAGTGTGGAGCAGGAATTTGTGGCCCCCGGAGCAGCGATCCAAAGGCAAGGAAAGGTTCCAATCGAAGAAATCTCGGATGAACCAATTTGAATGAATGCCATCCACATTGATGGGATGATGTCAGTCATTTTTGAGGAGGTGGAGAATCGTCCCAGCAGGTCAATCATAAAAGACTTCTATTGAGAGAACTATGTGTAGCCACTTTTGCTCTGAAACACAATGCCCATCCACCTTTCACTTCCACCAATGCAGACTTTCCCCCAAGGGGGAATCCTTACAATGATGTTATTGTCGAGGCGGCGATAGGCAACTACTAGTTAGGTAGTATTTTGGTTGATATTGACGGCTTCGTGAACATGTTGTTCAAGTAAGTGTTTGACAAAATAAACCTCGCAATCGACTAGCTGGTGGCACTAGGCGGCCTACTTTATGGCTTCTCTAGCGAGAGGAAGGAGCGGCCTTGGGAGTAATTGCACCATCAGTCATTTGGGGAGAAGGGGAGAAGCAATTCACCTACAAGGAGGACTTCCCAGCTGTTGGCTCGTCTCCGACCTACAACGCCATCTTCAGCCTGCCACTACTAAACGACTACAAAGATGTGGTATCGACGTACCACGTAGCGGTGAATTTTCTTAGTGCTAGAGAAACCATCACCGTTTGGGGGAATTTAGAGCAGTCACATACCCGTTACCTCCAAGATGTCGGAAGTGTGGAGCAGGAATTTGTGGCCCCCGGAGCAACGATCCAAAGGCAAGGAAAGGCTCCAATCGAAGAAATCTTGGATGAGCCACTTTGAACGAATGCCATCCACATTGATGGGATGGTGCAGTCATTTTTTGATGAGGTGGAGAATCGTCCCAGAAGGTCAATCAGAAAAGGCTCAAATTGAGAGAACTATGTGTAGCCACTTTTGCTCTGAAACACAATACCCATCCACCTTTCATTTTCACCAATGCAGTTTTTCCCCCTAGGGGGAATCCTTACAATGATGTTATTGTCGCAGCGGCGATTGGCAACTACTAGATAGGTAGTATTTTGGTCGATATTAACGGCTCCGTGAACATGTTGTTCAATTAAGTGTTTGACAAAATAAACCTCCCAATCGACTAACTGGTGGCACTAGACGGCTTAATTTATGGCTTCTCTAGCGAGAGGAAGGAGGGGCCTTGGGAGTAATTGCACCATCAGTCATTTGGGGAGAAGGGGAGAAGCAATTCACCTACAAGGAGGACTTCCCGGCGGTAGACTCGCCTCTGACCTACAACGTCATCTTCAACCTGCCACTACTCACGACTACAAAGATGTGGTCTCGACGTACCACGCAGCGGTGAAGTTTCCTAGTGCTAGAGAAACCATCACCGTTTGGGGGAATTTAGAGCAATCACATACATGTTACCTCCGGGAAGTCGAAAGTGTGGAGCAGGAGCCGCTCAATCTCCAACACCAATGCGAAGGAGGCCTTGTGACCAGCAAGACCACTCTTAAAGTCCCTGCAGACGATAGAGAGCTTGATAAATCTGTACTAATAAGCAATAATTGTGATGCATGGTTTAAGGACTTGTTGATCCAAACCCCTAGGGAGCATCGAGATGTCTTTTCTTGGTTAGCAGTAGAGATATTAGGATACTGCTCGACGTTGCTTGCCAATGACTAATGCCAATCCATTCATCCGACCACTGAAGCAGAAGATAAGGTCCTTAGTGATGACTTTGACTAGACCAATTCGAGAGGAGGTGTAGAAGCTAAAGGAAGCTTACTACACCCGAGAGGTGTAGTACCTGGCATGAGTCTCCAAAGTGGTGATGGTTTAAAAAGCAAACGACAAGTGGAGGATATGCATGGACATCACCAACTTGAACACTGCCTACTCGAAGGACAGCTACCCATGTCGAGGATTGACGCGTTGGTGGACTTAGCAGTCAGTCATTAAGTGATGATCTTCCTAGACGATTTCTTAGGCTACCACCAGTTTAAAATGCATCCGATCGATGTAGAGAAGACAACTTTAATCACTAGTGAGGGTGTGTTTTATTACAATGTAATGCCTTTTGAGCTTAAAAATGTTGGGGCTACTTACTAATGCCTTATGAATGTAATATTGAAGTGTATAGGGATGATGTGTTAGTTAAGGGCTAGTTTGTCGAACAAAACAAAAGATTTAAAAGAAGCATTATAAATCCTTATAAAATATAACATAAGGTTAAATCCACTAAAGTGCATATTGGGGGCGTCAACGGGCAAATTTTTTTGTTATCTCTTAACCCTTGAAGGCATAAAAGTTAATTCAAAGAAAATACAAGCATTGTTGAACATGTCTTCTCCTTGGAACACAAAGGAAGAGCATAAGCTAACTAACCAGATTGTAGGTAAAAGCTGGTTCATCTCCAAGTCAGGCTACAAGTGTGCAATGTTCATCAAAATGCTCAGGAAGGCAAAGAACTTCAAATGATCGGTCAACTGCGAGCAAGCATTTGTGAAGTTGAAAGATTTCTTAGCATCGCAGCCACTACTCTAAAGCCTAAAACTGAATAAGGAACTATGTTTATATTTAGGAGTTGAAATTGAAGCCATAAGCTCAGTGCTAGTCCTAGAGGAAATGGGAAAACAATTTACAACATACTACACCAGTCAGGTTCTCAAAGGCATCGAAGTCAACACCATATGATGGAAAAACTAATATTCGCTCTTATTGTTTCCACTCGCAGGCTTCGATTGTCAAAATGTATCGCGAAGTTAGGTGGTTGTACAACACGTGTCAAGTAGTATGCGCTTTAACAGTCTGTGTATCTATCTTCCAAGGAAAAGTTTAACAATCTATTTCAATAGAAGAATCTTTAGTTTACTAATTTAATGAATATAGCTCGGTGTGATTGCAAAGAAGGTTTAAGTCTTAAAATGCTAATGGATGCAGAGTAGATAACATACAACAAAAAACAAAACAGACGGGAAAAAATCTTGAGAGTTCCTCTAAAAATGATGAGGCCTGTGTCTTTTTGATTTGGGGATCATGGTGATCGTGGCTTTCCAAAGTGTTTTTCTACGTGATAGTTGCCGATCTGAGAACATTACTTCTTATGTCTATGTCTAGGTCAAAAGAAACATAGAATCCATGAAATTAAGGCTTCC